CCCTGAGCCCCGCCCTCTCCCCCCTCGCCACGCCCCTCTGTGCCACACCACGCCCCCGCGCTCCACCCCCTCCCTCGCCACGCCCCCGGGGGTGCCCGTGTGGGGAGCGAGGGGCGGAGCTAGCCTGGGGTGGGGCGTGGCGAACGACCGCCCCGCGCCCGAGGTCTCTCCTGAGGTCAGTCTCCCCTCCCTCTGGTGTCCTTCGGGTCCGAAGGCTCCTGGGAGCCAAAGACGGAGAGGGGAAGGAGGGGTGACTTGACCCTCCCGCTCCACACCAAACTCACTCCAGCCCGGCTCGCCTCGCTTCCCGAGCAAGGGCTCGGAGGAGAGCCAGCAGGGGCCACGGCTTCCTCGCCCTGGCAGGGCCTTCCCAGTCCCCACCCTCCCTGCCCCCATTCTGATGTCCTGCCGGCCTGGGGTGCAGCCCGTGACCTCCTCGACCCCCCTGGGCAGGGCGGCACGGCCAGCGCCACTCCTGCCTGTGACCTTGGGAAGCCCTCCTCCCCCCACTCCTGGTCTCCAACGTGAAGCCAGTGGCTGTCTGCGCCAGGGCCTTTGACCTTGGAAAGGATGGTGTAAGCCTAGTCCCGAGGACCTCCCCGAGGGGAGGGACCAAGGTTCCGCCTGTAACAAAGGAACCCACTGTCTGACCGGTACCCCTCCGACCGGACCGCCAGGCCGGTGCCCCGTCACTTGCTGTAGCACGCGGTTTCCAGGGGTGACACTGGGCCACCTCTGCCTCTCACTGCTGAGAACACTTGGGCAGAAGGGCCTGTCCGAGGCAGTGCAAGAGCAGAGCAGCCCACCAACCCCCCGCAAGTCTGGGGCTGTGGCAGGCACGCCCCATCCTGCCGGGCTGAAGAGAGAGCCTGGTGGAGGGGGTGCGTGGCCAGGTCCAGGGTTCTAGCAGATGAGCAGGCTCTTGGAGGGTCTGTGGGTCCCCTGACACATGAGAGTGGGCAGGCAAGGGGGTCTTTGGGGCTTGGGAGGAGGGGCTCAGGGCTGGAGAGGGCCTGTGGCCACATGTGGAGAGAGCAAGGTCACCCGGGAACATGTGGGCTCACCACTTGCAACCAATGGGGAAGGCAGATCCCTAAGCAGGAGGGTCTGGCCTTGTGCTGGGTGCCTCTGTGGCAGCCCTGACCCTCTCTGGGCCTCAGTTTCCTCAGCAGCACCTGTAGCTGAGGGAAGGCAGTGCTGCCTGGGCTCAGGCAGGAAGGGAAGGGCCCGTCAGCTTCCTCCCCAGAGTCCAGACTTCCTGTCCCACCACATCCAAGGGAATTGGAAACTGGGGGTCAGTCTTCCCTCACTCTCCACTCACTGGGTGACCTCATGGGCAATGCCAACTTCAGTTTTAGTATCTGCCAGATTGAGCAAGACCTGCCCAGCCTCTCCCTCAGCTCATCCTGAGCTTGGGGCCGGGTGATGTGTAGTGCCCCGGAGAGCGCCCTTTACTGGTCCACCTACCCTCGGCACCTACAACCCAGCCAAGGGCCCTGTCCAATCCCACCCACTCCTACACCCCTGCACACATATACGATGCCACAGTACTGTGGTGGCGTGTACACTCGTGCCACACAGACTCATCCACTACAGAACTCACTAGCAGAGCTCCATGTTGCACAAGTCAGTGGCAGCCCTGCACATGGGCATATGTGTGCACGTTCACACGGACACAGACGTATACACTCTGGAGTGTGCACACCGAGACCCACACCCAGGCACATACAGAGGCAAGTGCAAAGTGCACGTGCACTCTTTTGTACGCAGATGCTGTGGGACAGAGCGCATGCTTACGCACACATAGGTGTCACCCAGCCCAGCACAACCCCAGAGCTACTCTGAGCCAGGCCTGGGGCCAACATGGTCAGAGACTGCCAGCTCCCAGCAGGCCCCAGCCCCTTGTCCCAGGCCCTGGCTGCTCAGCCCAGGCTACGTTCAAGATGCCCCAGATCCAGGCTAATTCTGACTTGGGGGATCCCTGCTTCCTACCTCCTGTTCCCCCAGAGCTAAATCTCGAGCCCTGGGGTTTCAGGCTCCAGGAGAGAACCCCCACAGTGTTCCCTGGCCACTCTGAATGGACTCTGCTCATGGCTTCCAACCCAGAGGCCCTGGAAGCTGGACTGGGTTCCTACAGGAAACCCACAGGAGCTAAAAATAGTACACAAGGGACAAATAGGGCTCTGCAGGCCAGCATTCACGCCACACGCACCGCCCGCATGGAGAGGAAGCTGCCTTCCAGGGAGGCTGGGCGGGGGAGCCTGAGGCCCAAGCTCCACCCCTGCATCCACCCCCCCCCGCCCCCCCAGATCTGATGGGCCCAACTGGGGGCAGCGGGTATGGGGAATGGAAATCTCATAGGAAGTAGAAACCATACTGGACAGTGGGCAGATGCCTGAGTGTCCTTAGGCCGGGCACAACCCCTCTCTGGGCCTCGATTTTTCATGAGGCAACAGGGGAGAGGAATAAAAAGATGGATAAGGCATTAGCTTTCAGGATGTGCCTCTCACCATGGTGTTTACTTTAGGAAATAATGCAAATATTCGTCAATAGGGTGTTATTGAACAGTATCGTTGGGTTTCTATGCAGTGCCTTGAGCAACGACAACAATATCAGAATGACTAGCATTTACTGTGATGTGCAGGTCCCACGATATTGCCGTCATACCCATTTTACAGATGACGGGCTGAAGCTCAGAGGTTAAGTAGCCCACTGAGGGCTCACAGCTCTCAATATCATTGCACCCCAGAAGTCTTAGTTCTAAGCATTAAAGCATTAAAAACCGTAGAGATTATAAAGCATAAAGATACAAATTTACAAGAAACATTTCAAAGTTTAATTACTTAAATTTTTTCTATGTTAATCTAGTTTAGTAAATTATGGAGAATAACTTCATTTCAGTCCAACTTTTGCCATCTTCAGAGGGCCAGAAAAGTCCTTTCAATAATTAAACTTTCAAATGGTGTCTCCTGTAGCTTTACACCTCTGAGGTTATTAAAGCTTAAAACTGCACTGGCAGTTTCAGGATGCCTGTTATTCTACGTCAGTTTGACGTCATCGCCTGTGTGACGGTTTTCGGTGGTGGATGGGGTGGAGGGGAGATCTGTGAAGCTGTGCTGGGCAGAGAGCCTGGGGAAGGTATATGATAGACAGCACGTGTGGCTCAGGAGCAGACGGGAGCCCCTGAGAGCAGAGGCCGTCCCGGGGGACCGTTGGGACACACAGGATTGTGCTCCCTCTCAGATTTCTTCATCAGGCTTGCCCTGCTTCTTGGATGGAAAGATGGTGAACTTTATAGGAAAAAGCGACACCCCTCCCTCCTGGGCTGAGCGGTCCTATCAAGTAGTCAGCACCCCCATAACAGTTCATGCATGTAATCCTCCATCAGTCCTGTGAGGACCGTCTGGCCCTCTCCGTCCCATAGATGAGGAAATCGAAGCGCAGAGGCCACTGCTAGGTTCACTAACCCCAGCCCAGCCAAGTCCTCCCTGACCCTGTATCCCAAGGGTGACCCCATGCTCCTGACTAGTCAGTGTGTCTTTCCCTGGCCTGGCCCACGACAGATGACATGAGGGAGTGGAGAGCAGACAGAGAGCTCTGAATGCCTGGCCAGAGCAAGCCTGGGGAAGATGGGGTGGCCCAGCCCCCAGACTTGGCCACCCACTGTTGAGAGCCTCCTCAGGAGGCCCCTGGGCCAGCCGTGCCCTGCCCACGGCTTTCCTGGTTTCCTATGGTGGTGCCATCTCCCAGGCCTGACTCCTGTGGGTGTCTGAGGCTGGCCCTCCACCCTCCGCTGCAGCCTTCCCTGGTCCTTGCTCATTATGGCACCTCCCAGCAGAGCCCCCAAGGCTCTGGGTCTATAGGGTCCCAGTTCTGAGGGCGGGCCCAGGGCCCACAGCACCCCTGCCTGACAGGTCTCCCCTGGTGTTCCTGGGGATGAGGGACGCACTCAGAGGCAGGAGATGCATGATAATGGAATAAAGGGAGGGAGGAGGGAGGCAGGAGGAGGGAGGAG